TTTTCTCATTCATTCCCCCAAGGAAATTTGACCTTTTCGACAAGAACATTTTTTGATGCTCCACATAAGAAGACTCTATTATCCACAACTGTATTTTAATACAGTTTTATGCTGAGGAGCATACTATAAACATTAGGATTTTCAAGCCTGCTGTCTAGTCAGTGGTGCAGCTACAGCCGCATGAACATCAATCACAAAACTTCTCCTCTAAAGGGCTCAGTTTTAGATCACCAACAGCTTACATCTGCAAACAACCATTTCATTTAATCAGAAATAATTTATGTTGTTTTTTTCTAGCAAAGAATTATGATAACTAGCACTGGTGCAAACTGAAGTAAAAAAAAAAAGCAGCGGCATCTTATGCTGTAGGCATTAAGCATATATGCAATTAGTTACTGTTCCTTTCTCTGCCCAAGGCCTTCGCAGGGCTGAACTTTGCAATATGTCCCATTCAAAGCAGTCACCTGACCTGGAGCAGCAGGCAAACCACCAAGGCAAAATCCGATGCTATCCTTGGACTTCTCACTATGAAGAACATTCTCCCTTTTCCCTAAACGCAGTCCAAAAGCATGAACAGAATATTTTTTGTTTTGTAACTTTATTTTTTTTTAAAAAAGAACAGCAAAAACTAACAAGAACTAATATTTAGAGAAACAATAAAGAGAAAGAAAATTGGAAAATAAAAAAATAGTAAAGGTCAAAAGTGCAGAGAAGGAAAAAAAAAGGGAAAAAAGAATGGACTTCTGACCCTCCTTGCAACAGATACAATAATATACATCAAACTTTTACTCTAAATTATAAACAGAATATTCTTGGGGTGTATGAAGTAGTATCAAGGGATGGAAACGGTTTATTCTGTTGGTGAGGGAAATAAATTACATACTACACTCCAGAGCAGGTCTATACATGAATTTTGATCTGGCAAGACTTATCCCTGTTGCTGTTATCTTTTATGACTGATGTGTAGAAAATAGTCAGAAAATATGTATTATTCAGAGACCCAGTTCTTAAATAATAAATTTCCTCTGTATATGCTGCACTGAACATGACTACAAATCAGTTGAAGTCATGGGATTTTTAGTATCTTCACATAACAATTACTTTACAATGCTGTAATTTTTATTTCCAAATATAGGAGCAACAACTATTGCTTCTTTTCTGAAAAACTTTAAGGATCCTTGCCGTAAGATCACTTCTGTTCTTAACAGGATTCAATCTGCAGGTCAGCAGTCGACTTTCCAAGTAGGAGTATAACAATGTCAAACAAGCCTTTATTTTTCTGTCCCTTTTTCCTGGATTTTTAACTCCAAAAACTTGCAATTTTTGTAGTATGTACTTTCAGCTGACCAAGTTAAACTTGCAAAGAGGCACAGCAATAAAGAAAGAAGTCTCTCATCTATCATGGGTTGTTCCATGAATCTTACTCATTTTGCCATCTGAACCCCATCCTCATCTTTGGGTAATCTATTTTGTTTTCCTTCAGTTTCCCAGTTTTTCTTCTCTCTCTCCAATGTTGCTGCTTCTCTGTATGTTGGGTGAATATGAAATGTGCTCCCCTATGACTGGAAGAAACAGTGGTGGAAGTAGGGCGTAAGGAGGAATACTGGTAGCTCTAGGACAAAACAGATCAAAAGGCAAGGAAACATGAAAAACACCCAGTTCCACTTTATTGTCTTTAGGAGTAAGAGGAATTCTCCTTTCTCAATATGTTTTTTAAAAAATAGCCCTCATGAACTATTAACCATTGATCATAAAATGCAAAGAAACCATCTTCTTTCTCAAACCTACTTCTGATTGGCTTCAGAAAATAGAACAAAATCCTGGAAACTGCTTCTCAACAATCTTCCAAATTCTTTAGCTCCATTTGGAAGACAGAGGAATACTTCAAGCTCTCCAGATGGGTTGGAAGTACAACTCATCAGACTGTGGAAAAGTATCCAAGATCTCTGCCTTGTTTTTACAATTTCCTTCTTGAACTTTATAATTTCTACCTCTCTCGAAATCATTAGCTTAATTGCTCAGATAACACAGAAGATTGACCTACAACACAGACAGCTAATATGAGGTTTGAAGAAACATAAAAAGTGTTCTAAAGGATAGTGAGCATTGTTTATTTCAGTCATTACTTGCTATGAGCTAACATCTTATGGCTGTAAATCAGTTGAGTTCTCTCACTGCATAAAAGTGGAAATGTTTTACTCAAGCCCTTGCAGGTTATGGTATACAAATCCTCAAATTATTACAATCACAGGGGCTAAATAAAGTCTGTTATCTTAATAAAAGTTGAAGTGTCTGTTTTTTAATGTGCATTTGAAGGCCAGCCTCAAATGTCTTGAGAGTCATTTACTGTTAACATTTGTTCTGGGATCAATGAGGGCAGTGAAAAAGCACGTCTAAAAGGTTTCAATATACATAACTTAAACACATCTTACACAGATTCATGAAAACAAAGTGTTGTAGGTTCAAAGACCCACTCTTTATTTAATATTCCTAATTGCAATTTGGCCCTTCAGTATTTCCACAAATCCTCCCCACAGTCTGGCAATTCTAAGCTGCTCCTTAACGTGAAACAAGACTGGATTTAAATAAAGTGCAGATATCCTTTGTGCACAAATATAATCCAGCTCTCCTGTTTCAGAAAGCCAGAGCAGTAAACATTTTAAGAATGCACATATGTGCCTTGCAGTAAAAGGGGTATCACATTGTTTGAGCAATGACTTTTTTTTTTTTGCAAGATACTATTCTCTCACACCACCTATATCTGCTTCAAACTGAAATGAAAATACAATTAAGTCAAGTAAGAAATACTTCGCTCTCCCAATATAAATGTTTCATACAGTCAATCTAAAATGCTAGGATGACCATCATGTTTAAGACTGTGGGATGGGGGTAAGACTATTTTGCTCTGCTAAAATATCTGAATACAAAATGAAATAGAAACAAAGATTAAAACAATACAGTATAGGAACAAAGTACAACAGCAATCAAATAATACTTTAAAAAGACTTCCAAAGGGTTAGTGTTGTCTGTCTAGCCCCCTTCAAGCATTTGCTTGGACCTGTGAAGAGAAAACAGACCTGCACAGATAGCATCACCTCCACTCTCTCAAGCCTCCGTATGTTCAGGAAAGAGGTCTGAAGAAGAGCTCTGCTCACATTCATGTACTACAAAGACAAATGCTGCTCCTCATCCACTTTGGGAGTGGACTACAGCAGAATGCAGAATCACATTAACATACTTGTGATCTTGCATGCAAGGCCGGCTACCTTTCAGAGCTCCTACTGGTATGTCAGGCTGGAGAGAAGTTGGTGGGGAGCTTTGTAAGTGCAGTTTTCTTTCTCCCCTCCACGCTCTTCATGCATTCAGGAAATGCCTGAACAGGGCTTCTGTTGCAGCAAATGCAATGAAGTGTTTTGGTACCTTAAAAACTAAGTTATATTATAGCATTAACATTTCTGCGTCAGAACCTATGTTGTCAAGTGGACAAGCCAGTCTCCTAACTGGGTAGGACAAATGCAAGTTTTTACTCAGTTGATTAATTTTAACATGAACCAAGAGGCCAAACAATGTAGGAATAATCATTAAAAACATTATGTTCCTAAGGCAGCCAAAAATAGAAGATCCACTTGAGGTGGATGTGGTCCATTTCCAATTAACAACTGTGCATCAAAACCATGCTGATGTTGCTATATCTGTTTATCTGCCAGTCTCGAATAGGTTACACTGCTATGATACTTTTGTTTACTTAAAGATACCAGACTATATTGCTTTCTAAATGTAACTTCTCTCTAACTATCCCCCAGCTGCTCTACCTCGTGCCATTTAATCAGTTTGGTAAATACACTTTTCTATCCATATTAGTTCAGACCCTTTCACAAGCAAATGTAACAACAGAAACTTCTTCCTATTTTCAATTCTTACATAAGTACAGTTCATTTTTTTTAAAAAGCACTAAAAATGAAATGGGCCACATCAATGAAAGCATAAAAAGATTCTTAGCTTAACACCCTAACAATATTGCTACTCCAAAAGGAGACATGTCCATTGAAATAAATTGCTTCAACAATATCATGCCTGACAAACTATTACCCTCCACAGACCCACAAAACAGTACTTTGACAAGCAAAAACCACCATGCATGCATGGCCCTTTTAAGATCATATGACTACAGGGTTTATATAGTATAGTGGCAAGACATGATAGAATCAGGTATATATGCCAAAGGCAATTCAAGATTTTGACAGTAACACAAGAAACTAAGTTGTCCCAAGAGGCACCGTTGTGACAGTTAGTTGGCGTTCTGGGGAAAGAGGATGGAAATATGTCCTGAAATACAACATTAGGAATAAATCATGACATGATTGGCTGAAGTGCACTAAAATGCTATTTTCAGACAAGAAATTCCATGCTTTCTCCCCCTCCCAACCCCATTCAGCATGTGACAATATTGCTTTTCTTCTTTGTCTGAATGATGTTACACTAATCTGGGAAAAGGAGCAAAATCAGCTGGTTTCATGACAGAATACTGAAAAGTGTCAATCCGTTGGTCCCCAGTGAAAAAGCTGTAGCAAGAAAAGTGCAATTATCCCGATGATCTGAAATTAAAAAAACCCACATTTGTAAATACTATTTTCATATGAATTAATGGTTTCCTTTTTTTTCTCCTGAAAACAGATATTCTGTTAAGAAAAGTTGGGATGTCTTTTTCATTGTTCAAACTCAAAGTCTACACGGAAACACAAAGTATCAAAAGAAATTGGTCCCTCCAGTTGTGAGGAATTATGGAGATCTCCCTTCTTTATTGAACCAAAGCTGGACGCCCAGAGTCTGAACTGGAGCGATCCCAAGACAAGCGCAGCAGGCTCTCTGCTGCCCCTTTTCCCTAGATCTCACAGGAGGCTGACATTCATGGCATGGTGTATAAGATACTACCTATGACCTGTTTATGGAATTGTCAGCTATTATGATACAAAGAGATGTGACCTGGAAGGTTTAATCACAGTTGTTTCCATAAAATTCTCCCCCCAGATTAGCTAGGCTGAGTTTATCCTTCAGTTTCTTCACTATGTCCTGACTGCTGGAGCATAGACATCTGTGATATTATTTTGCTTGTTCCACGAGAGAGCCGCTCTTGGTCTGTGTTTGCTGAAAGGGAGGCCACAGAAAGAGGTTGGAGCAGAGTGGGCGTCATACCAGTTGTGACGGTCAGATTATGAGTAGCACCTTTGAGCGTAAGATCTTGCGTGGGAAGAAGTGGCTTGAGAATGCTGACGAGGCAGAAAGCAGAGCCACTTTTAGGAATAAAGTTTACTTTATTCTTGTCAGGACAATAAAAGGCTGGAATTTCATGCAAGGGTTTTGGCCTACAAACAGAAAAACAACACCACAAGGTGTTAAAGGTTAGTGGTTAAAAATTAACAAAGTTAAAGGTTGCAAGGAATTACCCAACATTTCTGATATTCCAGTTGTGTAACATACAATATGAAATACTTTTCTTTTTTTTGTCCCAAGTATATGAGAGCTGTCCAGAATAGGGGAAAAGAATGTCTGCCATATAGTAGCAATTTATCTCCGAGTCTGATTATTTGTGAAGCAGTCAATACATTTTGACACACCTATTATACTATCTAATGACCAGCCTGTCTTTCCTCTCTAACTCCAAAGAAACAGAAACTGGCTACCCCTGGTTTATATCAAGGTCAGTGTTGGAGGCATCAGACATCTTATTCTTCTTAACTACCATCTTTTTATTGGGCCACAGCCTCCCATAGCAGCTGCACATGGAAAGCTCTGGAATTGGTACTTGAAACCCAAAGAGGTATGGTTCCTATGAATTGAGAACAAGAAATCTGAGAATTCCTTTTGGTATTTGGCCAGTTTGGTCAGACAGCACAAGGAACTATTGAGAACTGTATCAAGTAGAAAAAGTGCTTCACAACATTTACAGTGTTCAAGAACATGCATGAATGCATATTAGGTAATGAGATTTTACATCAGTGTTTCTCAGACTTGGCAACTTCCAGGTGTGTGGACTTCAAATCCTAGAATTCCACAGCCAACATGGCCATTGATGAGACTTCTGGGAGTTGACGTACATACACCTGGAAGTTGCCACGGCTGGGAAACTGCTTTAGGTTTTCATTAGGTCTCAAAAGAGGGAAAATGTTCAAAATGTATTTTTCTCAATACACTTCTGCAAAATACATATAAATAGCAGAGGGGGAAAGATCCCTGCTTTCTCAAAAGTGGGCTAGGAACTACTTTAAATAATTATATTGTAAACCAAAAAAAAAGACAGAGCTGAATGGACAGACTTGAGTCCTTGCTTTACCCAAAAACATAAGATACATTAAGCATAAAGCTATACTGTCAAACCAAAGTTTAGAAACCAGGCATAGTGAGCTATTATGATTCAAAAAATTATGAAGGGCATAACTACTTACAAGCTTTCCTCAAACACTTTCACTTTCTCACAGCCCTCAGGAGGTTCACGTTTGAACATATAGCTGTTGTTGGGTTTTGGTGATGTAGCATATTTGGGCAGAGGAGAATTACTTCCATTCTCTGTAGTGAGCAAAGGGCCAGTTACATATACTTATATATACCACAACATGCATGAGATCATTTATCTTTGCATCTCTCATACTCCTTGATTAGCAATGTTAAAAAGGCAAATGAAAGCCTGATCACCTAGTATAAAGCAGTCTCTTACTTTCCGTACGGTTTTGCTTTATAAGCAACCTGGTACTCTCCAGTTGTTTTGGATGACCACTTAAATAATTCTTGACCATTAACCAAGTTGGGACTGCTGAAAAGCACAGACAAGAGGCCTACTCTGTTCGACATATGTAGGCATCTTGCTCATTGACATGCTACAAATGAACTATTACCTCTGGCAGCATTTGATTCTACCAACCTAAACAAACATTTCCAGATGTCTGTTGGAAGACAAGGACTCATTTGCTTTCAAAAATGAGACTTAATTTACAAATTCTATGACCGCCTCCATCTCCCTCCCTCACCTCGAGTCTGCTGACATATATATATGCATGTCAAGTAAAACGAAACAGAACTGCAACTCCCTGCCTGAATTACAGGCAATCCCTGGGTTAAGAACATCTGACTTATAGACAGCTCGTACTCACAAACGGACTGCCTACTACTAAAAATGGTGGATGGCATTCTCCTTCCTTGAACTGACAAACCACTGAAGCCACACAATGATTTCATAAGCATCACAAAGTAGTCCGTGCATTTTTAAGATACAGGCTGTATACTTTGTGATGCTCATGAAAACACTGCATGGCTTCAGTTGTTCATGAAAACATTGCGCGGCTTCAGTGGCTCGTTGACCTGAGGAAGGAGAATGCCATCTGCCATTTTTAGTCAGATCACACTGCTGTTTTTCTCTTACTATTTACCATGCCTCCAAAGCGTAAATCCAATGCAAGTGCTGGTGATGCATCAAAGAAAAGGAAAACAATCATGATTGAAAATAAAGTAGAAATAATAAAGCAATCAGAATAACCTTTAATCATGAGCATTACTTTAAGATGTTTAAGATGTTGTAGTGTATTTGGAAGTGTTTCTTAAGTGTTTTATATGCATAGAAAGGTAAAATAAATACTATATACTAAGACAAACATTTGACCAACTGACGCTAAATAACCTGCTCCAACTTACATACAAATTCAACTTAAAGACAGACTTAGGAACAGATCTCATTCTTAACCCGGGGACTGCCTGTATATTAAAACCTACATAACTCCCTTAAATACAGAGAAAAAAATATGGAAATTAACTGGTGGGCAACAGAAGAATGATTATCCAAAAAAACCCAACTAAAATAATACAACTTTTCTCACTTACAATGATGGGGAAGAAACTATTCTTCCATCTCTCCCCACTGCCCAAATGTGAAGAGTAGTTCTACTATCCCACAAGAACTTTTGCTTAAAATTCTCACACAGCATAAGAAACTCTGAATTTTTTTTTTTTTAAAGCAGTTTATGATATGCCTCAAAGATGAGCTTCTGCTTGGCAAGTGGTAAATAGTGCCAAAAGGCTCTGTGAACTCTGGCCTATAGCTCAAATACTTAGGAAACAAACGAGGTTTCTTAACTGAAGGGTTAGTCCTAAAGTTTACACTGTAACAGAAGCATTAGGAACACTTTTCAGGAAATACCTTTATCTCTGGGGTCCATAAGCAGGTCATCAGCAGAGCAGGGGCTCTCCTCACTGCCCTCATTGGAGATAGCAAGGAAGGAGCTTGGGGAAATAGACTGAGATCGGCTGCTGTTGTTACTGCCTTTCTCTGCCCCACCCGGAGTTTGTGTATCAATGCTGCGAGTGCTGCTGCTACGCTGCACCAAAGGAGGTGGAGCTCGATGCCCGTCTGGAATATCTTGTGGCTGTTGAATGAAAACATATTACATACATCTTACACACAGCAGGCTATTCATCTTGTCTGGGTAACAGGTGACTTTATTGCTTTGTCCGTAAAGCTCTTCAACTGAAGATCAGTTATTCTTCAGGTATCAAAATAAAAAGATGGAAACCAAACCAAACGTAAGAAGGTTCAGGGTCTCATAAAGTAATCTGCCACTGCAGCATCCCTTCAGAGCTTTAGAACTTCAGTTCCAGCCCATATGAAACCACTGTTCCTCTTTATGTTCCAGGAAAAAAAGGAAGGCTCAATGTAAATTTGTTAACTAGAAATGAGGATCTAATTCTGGTTTAAGGTTCTGGTTGCTATTGACATTAATACAGTCCCCAAGTTTAGACGAGAAGGACTATGATTTCAAAGAAACCCAGATTAAAGGTTAAAGCCAGCATGAAGCAGGGGTAGGGATAAGAGACTGGTATGCAGGCATAATGCTCACTCCTGGCTTTGTTTAAAGAGGCTGAATGTCTGTTAGTACTCATAATTCTAAATATTATTTTTTTCGCCAGACAGATCTTGACGTAACAGTTCCAAGATGACTGCTTCTCCTTCATATTCCATATACTCATGTATTCAGATGCATACTTATGTATGCTCATGATGGACACAACTCTCCTCCTCAATGTATGTTTGACTACAAATATACTCACAATAAGTTGTTCCTCTTTCTCTCCAGTCTCCTTTATGATTATTTCAATCTCCTGATTCAGCCCTTCTATGCTATTACGGAAACGGGATCCTGTTGACTTAGCTATTGGTATCACAGGAACCAGCATGCTCTTTGGGACCGGAGCCTGAAAACCCAACAAAGGTAAATGAAAATCATGGTTATATAATTTAAAAGAGAAAACCTAATTATCAGTAAGTCTATCACAGATTTTATTATAATGACAAAATGCATCTGGTTTATTTAGAGAACTTTAGATGACATGTGCTATTTTATTATTGCACATTTTTTGTATTTATGATCTTTGCTCCTTGAATTCTGTGTAATTCAAAAGTATCAATATTACATCCATTTGATCTACTGTATTTAAGCTACCATTCTGATTCAGATGCTAAGCAGGAGGGACCCAACAATGAGAACGTTAATTTTTTAAATCTGTGCTCAGTCGTTTTCCTGGATGTTTTTAATTTTTAAAAAAGAATCAGAACTAGAAATGTGAAGAGGAAGTAAAAATATCTCTCTTAGGTTAGCACCTCAAAAAGTGCTGAAACAGATAAATCACAAACTTAACTGTAAATTTAGTTTCGGAAGAATCCAACCCTGATGAAAATCCTCTGCTTCTCCCCAGCATTTTCACAGCATCTATGGTTTCAGTTTTTTGTTATGGAGATGCAAGATACACAATATCATAATAAAGCACATTATGAAGAATTAATGTGTAATTTAGCCTTGACTACAGAGGTTTGCTTGGGAATGTCAACCCAAATGTATGTATTTCTGTCAGGTGTATAAGTATCTACTAGAGGCTCAAAAGAAGTACAAATCTGAGTGAAGCAACCACTTGTCAAGACTTAAAACAGAATTGTTCTACTTCTTTTATTTAAATTGTTAATACACCACCTATCAAGCAATGACTCCCCAGACATTGTACAATTATTAACTTTTTTCCAAAACTATAAAATACAGTAACAGAAAGCATATTAAATACCACAATAAAATAATAATTGCTATAGGCAATTCAACCACACCATCTTGAGCTCAATACATTTTTTTCAGCATGCAGCGAAATCATAGCAACATCAATTCAAGCTTTAATTCTAGGACAAAATAATTCAACCTATGATGGTGATCACGTTTGGGAAAATCTAAATTAGCAATGTGCAAAGTATTAGGCTTCCAAAATGTTTTGAGCATGACATTTTGTCCAACTTTTCATTTTGAAATGCAGAATTACTGATTTAAGTTCAAATACTTCCAAAATGGTCAGAACAGCCTTTTCACATTAGAAACAGGGCATTTTGAGAAATTTGATAGAGAATCAGAGGGACTGTGGAATGTACTTAAAGAAGCTGTTAAGGATGAATGCGAAAAGACACTGCCAAAGATGAAGAAACAGAAGAAAGCAGACTGGATTCAGAACAAACCATGGAAATTGCCACAAAGAAAAGCCAAAGCCAAGAAAGACAAAAGTCCCAGGAAAGAATTTAACAGCATTCAAGGACCTGTTAGAAGTGACAAGAAGCAGTATTACAACAACGTCTGTAAAGACTTTGAAGATGGAAACAGACATAGAAAAAAAGGAACATCTTCCAAAAGATCTCTTGAATTCAGAAGGAGGTTCCAAGCTTGAATTGCTGTGCTAAAGGACGCCAATGGACAGATAATAACTGATTCAAAGAAAAATTTAAAAAGATGGAAGGAGTATACAGAAATAATGTACAATAGATATGTCAACATCCAAGATACCTAAGAAGATATTCCCTACTTACAAGAACTTGTAGTACTAGCACATTAAATTAGATCAGCACTCCAGTCCTTACCAAATCAGAAGGCTACAGGAACTGATGGAATACCCACAGAAATATGGCAAGCAACTAACAGTGAAGGTTCTAACTAAACTACGCCAGCAAATCTGGAGAACAACACAGGCCAACAAATTGGAAGAGGTCAATCTACATTCCAATGCCAAAAAAGGAGACTTTTTTGTGTATTGTGTGCAGACTATAGTACAATATCCTTAATTTCATATGCTAACAAAATAATGCTTAGGATCATCCAATGCAGATTTGAGCCCTACATGGAAAAGGAGATGTCAGTTGTTCAAGCTGGCTTTTGAAAAGGCCAAGGAACAAGAGACATTATTGCTGAAACATGCTGGATAATTGAGAAAGCCAAAGAATACCAAAAAGAAGTCAATATGTGCACTGATTATAGAAAGCCCTTTGATTGTGTTGATCATGTCAAGCTGTGGAAGGTGCTTAGAAAAATCAGAATCCCAGAACATCTCATTGTCCTCATGAGAAACCTATATACAAGTCAGGAAGTTACAGTTACAATGGTGAAACAGACTGATTCCGGATTGGCCAAGGAGTAAGACAAGGCTGTATAGTCCCTCCTTGTTTATTCAATCTATATGCTGGATATATATTAATGGAAACTGGATTGAAAGAAGATGAGTGTGGTTTTAAAAGTGGATGAAAAAACATCAGTAACCCATGCTCTGCTTATGACACTACTCTGATAGCCAAAAATGCAAAAGATCTGCAAGCTCTGGTAATAAAAGTCATCAGTGAACAGTGAAAAAATGGGACTAAAATTAAATATAAAGAAGACCAAACTAATGTCGATAGGTGCAACAGCTAGCCTTAGAACTGACAACGCATATGTTAAATGCATTGTCAATTCTAAGGCTAGCTTCTGCCTTTTAGGATCAACCATCAACAGTAAAGGGCAAGCAGTCCAGAAATACAGTATGCTCAGATCAGCACTTGGTAAAGCAGCCATGAAAATCTTGGAAAAAATATAAAATTTAATTTGCATTACAGACAAGATGGTACCTTGGGGTAGTTCATATCACAGTTGCCAAAGATTTGGTTCCTCCAATGCTACTCACTGTGATACACCTTGTAGGTACGAATGGCACCACTGCAAAATAGCACTCCTTATTCCCAAATCACAGAGACAATTCAGCAGATATTGTAGTCAAATGGCAGCAAGAGCAACAGGAGTACATTTCCTCTGTTCCTTTCCTAGTACAGGTGCAACCAAGACTCCATTTTCTCTAAGTGTACCCAGAACTAGACTTCAATCACTCCCAAGTATCTAAAGGAAATATTTAGGAGAGGTTTTCTAACTATTTTCACATCGTTCAAATCAACTGAAGTGGAAACAATATTCACTAGTATGGCCTCTTCCTCCTGTAATGCTAGCAGTTTTCAGACATTCTTTTTTGCAACTCATTGCCTGAAATATATTGAACTTCTTTGGCGCCAACTTTTACAAATGTTACATTTAGATGTCATCTTACCTGGCACTGGTTAATAGCTGCATGATTACCATGAAATGGAGATTGTCTTTCTTTATCTCGATGGTGTCTGCTGCTATGTTTGCTTCTTTGCAGTTGCTGGCGTAACTTGGCAATCTGAAAGGACAAACTTTTTGTGTTTCTTTTTAAATTCATAACAAAAATGTTGAATATTTGAATCAAAACTCACTCTAAGGGCTTCTGCTAACATTATCACTATATCAGATGCTTAGATATAATAACACTTTTCACTGGTTCCCAATAAAGCAGAATTAAAAAAAAATTAAATTAAAAGAATAAGCAAAAGTCTGGAGTTTTGTTTTTGTTTTTAAAAAGTATTTTAAAAAACCAATGAAGAAGTCAGCTTCTCAAATGCAAGAAACACAATTCAGAAATAGGGGCTAGCTACAGAGAAGGAGGAATCCTAAACTGCTGCAAGATGATCACATGGCAAATGTAGTTGAATCTATTCAGATGGTATCCGGGAATGGTCTAGAATAAGGTAGGGCAGGGTACAGAACATAATGAAGAAGGTTTTAGGCAATCTAGACTGAAACCATATTAAGGCTTAAAATATCATCATCATCATCATCATCATCATCATCATCATCATCATCACCACCACCACCACCACCACCACCACCACCACCCTGTAACTCATTCAGAAACAAACTAAAAGTCAGTATAACACTCAGAGCACAGATATAATGGGGCCCCAAGTGTGTGAAGGGCCCCGTTTCCTTGTTGTGTTGATGCTGACGGTTTTTAAAGATCTCTTGGCTGCATTTATATTGTATTTAATATTTTGTACTGTTCTAAATGTTGGCTGTTTTTATTGTTAGCTGCCCAGAGTCACTGGTCTGAGATGGGCGGCTATATAAATT